AAGGCCGGGCAGCAGCCCTTTGCTAACTGGGGTAGTTGGGGCAGCCCCTTACCTTGTTCTCCAAGGTCAAGGTAGTCCTCCCTCCTACTCTCTGTTGTCATATAATTATTGTTCATGCTTTTAATTTAATTTAGAATTAAATTAATTCAAAAAATTTCTCATTTTACCAACTCTCCCACATGGAAAGTTGATAGAAACTATTGGGAGCATTTCCCTATAAATACCCACCTTAGATATTGGGAATACTCACTTGAGAAGAACTCCAAAGGAATCTACCAAGGTCTGAGAAATCCTTAAGTTCGTAAAACTCTAGTAATTTTGGTCTAGCCCCGTCTAAGCTATGGGGTAGGGGTCGGTTCGGTAATCGAGGATGTGAGACGTTGGAGGTCTTGCATTTGCGGGGCTTGAAGTTTTCCATGTCCGAGTTTGAGTTGCGAGCAAAGCACGCGTCAAGGGTGAGCATCTTTCTCTCTACTCTCTTTATGTGTTTGTGTTTTCTTTATTTGCATGCTATTTTGTTATGTAATAATGATTATGCATGCGATCCGGTTTATCGAGTTGTGTTTCTGCACGGTGTCGGACACCGCAAAACCCAACAGCGGTGTAAGAGGCTCTTGCATTTAATTTTTACAACTAAAAGATTAATTAAGGTGATTTAAAATGGATTTAAATTTCCGGATAAGCAACCTAATAAGATTAGGACCTCGGTTTGAATTGGATTAAAATCGTATTATTGCTAATTTATGACTACGAACCCAGATTTCAACTCAAAAATAGTGAATTTTGGGTATCGATGTTCTAAATCAATCTATACCCACAATGTGGTTATTAATTGGCTTCCAGAGGCCAAAATTTGCCCAAAAATTGGTTTTTCGAGGGATTTTTTGTTTGAAACAAAAAATTTTAAATCTTTAAACCTTGATAAATTATGCCATGCAATTGTTGGATTATGTGTTTGATTATACCATTAATCTTTTGCAATTTTAATTTACTCCTTATTAAGCAGGTTTATGATGTAAATTGGTTGCTTAATTTGGTTAGCTCTTAATATCACATAAACTTGGAATTTCTCATTCTTGCAAATAAATTACTTGTGTGAAAGTTTACGGTGAATATGATTTTTGAAGCCCTTAAAATGTTAAAGACACAATCTTTAATGGTTTAAATGGTTGAATCTTAACTTGCTAAAATCCATAATGAACAAATTTTAGGTTTTAATCATTTTGGAAGTTGATTAAAATCTTAAATGTTCATACTTGTGCTTGAAATGTTATTACTCTTCATATTGGAAGGTTGTAATGTTAATATGTGCATAAGTGTTGGATAAATTTTTTCATTGGATGATTATTTATTTATTCAACTATTTTTCTTAAATCTCATTTTTAATTTATGTTGGTTAAATTAATTATGAGACAAGCCCTCAATTTTTGTTGCATCAAGTTGAGCCAAAAAAAATTTAAAGAATGGTTCTTGAATTAATTTTGGTTTGTCCACTAAAATTGAATTTATTTAAAATGGACTTGTTTAAATTTCAAAATTGCTCAATATTAGTTCTAAAATTAAATTTAGAATTAATTATAAATTCATACACAAAATCGGAATGAAATTCCGTAGCACGAGCATAAAAATCGAAGCATTGAGCTTCGAGCACCAAGCTCGGCTAGATGGGCTGCTTCCGTAGCCCACATGTTGTTGCCGAGCTGGTGCATGCATGCGCGCATGTGTGTGCTGCGAGTATGCTTGGTGCGGGGAGGGCTTGCAAGGATGCAAAGCAGCAGCAGCAGCTTGCGTGCACGCGCCATACGTGTGCTAGCTGTTAGGCAATGCCCAACAGCAGCTTGGCACGCAAGGCTGGGGCTGCTAGGCAGCTCCTAGCACTTGGGTGCGTACGAGCAACTGGGCTGCTAGGCATGGCTAGGCCGTGGTCTTATCATGGTGCTAAGAGCCTCGTTTTGCTTAGCCATTAAATTTTCCTCGGTTTATTTTGCGGTTTTAAATAAAACGAGGCTAGGCCTCGGTTTTTCACGCACTTACAAAATTTTGACTAAATTTTATTTTGATCTGCGTAATTAATTTTAATTGGATTAACTTTAATTGAGTTGGATGTGGAATTTAGTGGGAGCTTTATTAATCATTTTGAGCTTTATTAAGCCTTGTTTGTGCTTTGGTTATTGCGCTAACTCACATAATCGGATAATCTCTTGACTAATTTTAATTAGGTGCATTAATTAGATTAACCACCTAAGTTATTCGCTCATTGGATACAATGGTTTGTATTGTTTCTTGAATTATTTGTAAAATGCATGGGCCATTCACTTTAGTGAATGGATGAATGGAATATTGTAGATGTTCTAATGCAAGTTTTACAAAAATGGCAACTAGTATGGCCCGACTAGGATAGTAAAAACGGACTGCGTTCCGTTTTGTATTTTTATAAATCTAAGTATGGACTGCGTGCCATTAAGTATTTTTGTACTTAAATTATGTATATTAGTTCTAGTTTTTCTAGTAGTTGCATAATTGGTGGTCATGTCTCAAGACAGTGTTTCTAAGAAGACGAAGCCAAGAAGATGCAATGAAGGGCCTTTGAAGACTGGATGCTTCAAGTTTCAAGGGGCTCATGCTAGTTTGCCAATGCATCTTTTTTTATGCCTTATATATTTTTCTTATATATAATTGCGATATTAGATGCATGTTTAGGATTTCGAATGTGGAATGATTAATTTAGTTCACTTAATCAACCAACATAGAAAGCCTAAGTCCCTATAAAATTGAGTTAAAATTTGTCATTCCAAAATGACACTTACCAAACTAATGAGGATTTAATAGGCTATGCCAAAGCAAGGCATCACTACTTTCCCAGGGACGTAAGGTATACTAGGTATACGCGTTAATTTTGGTTAAACTCAACGATATCACACTAAGCGGAAAAAGGTCTCTAGTGGTCACTGGTGAAATTCTAGTCAAGCAATTGATAGCAGTAGTTTTACCAGCTCCATTGGGGCCCAAAAGACAAAATAGCTGATCCTTAGCAAGATTCACCCATAATCCCTGGAGAAATCGACAAATAAGGCATTATTTACTAAAATTTAAACAGCTAAATATCTTTATTAGCAGCAACTTGACAATTCATGGCCTCTTCACAAAATGACACTATGTAATTTGAACAAAATTATATTACTGTAAGGTTTTCAGACCAAGTAGCACAATGGAAAAATCTAAGATTAATAGAAATTTTATCTCAAATTTCCTAGTTCTTTTAGGGACATATTTCGCTATTTTAAGCAGGTAAACCTTAATGGGAACAATTAATATAGTATAGCTTTGTTTTGTCTTCTGTCCATTCTGATGTAGCATACTGCATTAATTTTGTCTAACAAAGCAACTGCAAGATTGTTTACCCTGAGAGCATGGTAAGGAGGAGTCCTTTTGCATTTACAGCATCAAAGACTTGTTGACCCGGGATAAACCTTTGCAAGGCCACGTATTTGGACTGCAACATTTGAATCTACAACACCTTCGTTTGCTTGCTGTTTAACATTGTTCTCCTCTTGAAGAACATCCTCATCATCAGGAGTTACATGCTCAAGCTGTGAGGAAGAACTAAAGCGGGTACAAATGCCACCCTCTGATGCATCCATGTTAAGTGTAGTTAGTTTATTGAAAAAAGCTACTAGTGTGATATATTTTTTTTAGGAAACTAGTATGATATATTAAATTAAGAGAACTAGAGAAAAAAGTAAAAGGAAAGGACATGACTTTCTACCTTGTGCCTTGCTTCCACCTTTGCCTGTCCAATATCCAAGATACAAGAAATAGAACACTGATTTCCTTACTCTATATGGGTTCAGAATAATATTGTCGAAGTAAAGAGCCAAAACAAACCACATAACAAACGTCCCCGACAACCATATGAAGATATCATTATGTCACAAGATGGCAGTACGTACTTAATGGTTAGCAGTCTTAGCACTAAAATGTCAATAGAGACTAAGCAAATATTTGAAAATGACAGAAGCCAAAAGCATAAGAATCACATTAAAGGGATATGAAAAGGAGAAAAAATTAATGGACTTAATAAATATGTAGGATACAGTAAATAAATAAATCTCAGCAGCCAGCAGCAACTCAAGGCATATACTAAATGAGCAACAAAGACAGCAGAAGAATAAAATACTCTAGACTTCCATTCACCAGCACCAATAGGGTAAGGGAATGTTATCCTAATAGAAGTATGGATGCTATGAACTATAATTGATCACTTATATTGTGATATCACTTAGCCCTAAAATATTAGGTCAAGGATATATCTGTCTGACTCACTGAATTGCACATTTATAGCACTGATATTGTCAAAAATTACATAACCATGCGATTCAATCATGATAAAATCCACTAATGTACAATATACAGGCTAACAACTAGAAAAATGATCATCACTGTTATGAATTCATCATTACATCAATATTACCAATGATACCTGTTTGAGTTGACATCGGCGCACTTTGACAGAACAACATTCAGATAGAGGCTACTAAGTTCAGACAATAGTTTTTCAGGTGAAAAATTAGTCGTTGTTGATCAATCAGATACTAACCATGTGTTTGCTAAAGAATGTGAGGATGCTTTTAATGACAAATATACATTCCCACTTCACCAAAGTCAAAGCGATCAGTTCCAAAAACATTTACATTTTTTCATAAGAGGCAAGAAGAGCAAAAACAATGAAACTGCTACTTTATCCCATGCAATACTCATATCCTAGCAAATGTAAATTAGGAATGAAATAACTAAACAGGAAATGACAAGGTAATAAATTTAATCCTGTTCAATCTCTCCCCTTAACTAATGTAGATGATCTGACCACATAAGCAAAAACATGGAGTCAAAACTCATGTCATTGAGGAACGGTTGCTATACCATTTGAGCATAACTTCAAAAGGTAATATTTAGGCCTCAAGGAAAAGTAAATTATAGATATTTCTATGCCATGCAAGAATTCAATATAAGACTTAAAAAATAGCAACACATGATGATATCAGATAAATAAAGTAGACAGGACTTGCCTTGTCTTGACCTCCGACATCCCACACGGTAAAGCTGATGTTCTTGTATTCCACAGTCTCCACATTAAATCCTGTAAACACATAAGAACAAGTTCCAAACACATTATATACAGCCGAGTATATGCAAAAAGCATCAACAAGTCTAAGACATAAGATCAGACCAATACCAAAAAACTAAACCGGATATGCCAGGATAGTTCTTTTTAGGAGTGTTACAAGGAGGACAAACAAAGGATAAAAAGTCACTTCTCTTTGTTTACAAAAAATAAAGGGCAATATTTCCTTGCTCAAAATTTAGAAAAGCTACACATTTTAAATGTAAAAGATATGATCCTGAATCACAATAAAATACATAACTTGTACACAGTAATTGTCAACAATAACGAGCAGTGTTGTGAAGGCAAATGGTTACATGAGTGTGGTGCTGGTTATTTAGCATTCTAGAAGCCATTTACCAGGCAAAGTCATTCAGTGAAGCTTGCAATAGAGGACTTAAAATTCCGAAAAAGTGGAAAAACGTCAAAAGGTTGCAGTGATTTGGACACAATTTCAACACGAGGAATACACTAGTGAATGAAAGGGAAACCAGAGAAAATCTCTAAATTGATTTACCGCGTCTAAACATATCGAATATAGTAATATAAAGGGGAGACAATGACCAAAAGCAAACACGCTAGTTATGGCAAGTCAAGTATTTTATGAGCATAGTACTACTACATAATCATCACAATAACGAAAAAAATTCAATATGAACATAATCCACAATATAATCATAAAAAGTTTGAAATTAAAAATTCTAGAGACATACCGATGGTGGGAATGGTGGTGACAATCTCTCCCAGCTTAAGCTTGTAAAGAATTGTAGTTTTACCAGCCGCATTGAGACCCACCATAAGGATTCGCATTTCCTTCTTGGCAAATAACCGGCTGAACAATTTGGTAAATGATAGCCCCATATTTCACCTAACAGATCCAAACAGGAAAAATGAACAAACGAGTGAATCTCTGAATCTGGATGTGAGCTGACAAGATTTAATGGATAATTTCATATTGCATCTAAGTAAAATACAAAGGATACGTAGCTGCCTTCAGTATAGGCTCGACCATCTGCAGCAGCATAATTTACTACAATATAAGAACAGGTCTATCAAGTAATCCTTAAATAGCTGTCAGCTATAGAGCAATGTCTTCTTTAGCCATTAGCAACAAGGCATTAACATCTAAATTTCAGTGAAGTTCAGGAGCACCCCCCGCCCCAACACAACCCCCCGCCATAACAGTTGCCAATGCTCATTGATTAATCTGTGTAAATATGTAGCAACAGAAAAAAAAATTATTATCACTATACTTGTCAAAATCAATCTTCAATGTACTATCTCTTTTAAGCCAATCCAAAATACATAACTATTTTGAAAAATTATAACTTTATCTGTTCATCAACATCATAGTCGTCCGTCCAAAAAACTACATTCCTCCAAACCTTAAATCAATCAATCAATTCATAATACTAATACTAGTTCAATCAAAGAATATAACTAAGAATTTAACATATAAGGAAGTCTTACTTGTTGAAATCGACAATGAAAGGAGCTATCGTGCTTGGTATACACAATTGACTCCGAAAGCTAAAGAGAATTCCATTACTTTAACGTTTTCACAAGAATTTGAAAGAATATTGTTATATTCATCAAATGTGAACAAACTGGATCTTGAATAGATCAAAAGTTCAGTGAAGTATGGAATCGACTTGGCAAGATATCAAAATGTCTAGTTTAAATCGAGCGATGTTGCCTGAGCCAAAAGTTATCATCTCAAGGTTATGAAATTGTAATTTCATAATCAACTCCAAAAAGAATATGGTATATCTTGACGGAGACCTCGAAGTCATTTGGAAATTACTCGAACGATAATGAATTACATCCCTTCCTATAACATTCTCAGAGATATGCACAAATGACTAATGTTACACTAAACAAAATTGTCAATTCTATGAAAAGACACCATATTCAGTTATGGATATAAATAGTTTCTAGCGTCTTTTCAAGCATATGTCTAGGGATCTTAGCCTCAGTGGGAGCTCATTGGCTCAGTGGCAGCTAAGTGGCTCAAAAGGACTAAGGTAGCTCAAGTGGGAGCTAACTGTTTGTTTCGGAACGAACTTTTACCCAAAGACAATATACAAGTCTCTTTATAAGCATTCAAGTGAGACTAGGGGCATTTCTTCCACAACCAAAATTGAGAACATGTATTTGTTTCTCTAAGTGGTGTCTTTTTGGAAAGTAACACATTTCCAAAATGACAAGCGGGAGAAAAATGAACTCGATAACCATCGAGACGAGCAACAAACCAGAACAGAGAATCTCGGAAAACTTTAGAAAGGCTTCATGAGAATCTTTGATCAAGAATACTAAAAATTAGACTTTACAAGTGCCTTAAAGAGAATTCATTACTTACAAAACTTTAAAAGTGTTGGAGTAAGATCAAAACAATCAAAGGGCTTTGGAAGCGCCTTGAGACTCAGTGTTTAATGCAATTTCCCCGTATAGGTATAGAATAATGGCTTGTAAGATAGCTACGACAAATCCAATTTCCGGAAATTGTTAGAGGCCATAAAATCTGAAACAAACTCCATGTTTGAAAATCATGTTTGAAACTTGATTAATTTGCATGAAGGGTAAAGACCCATCAATCACAAATAAGTCTTCAAGGAGAAAACTAACAAATATGGAAATGTATATGCATACATAGCTAGATTTGTTGAAAAGGTTACAATTAAATTCACCGCGTTGATTTAATAAAACCTATTCACTGATCGGAATGCTTAAGTCATTTCGTGATTATTCTAGCAAAATTGCGCATATGAAATATGGAAAAATAGATATCGAAACCGCCTTCCTACAAAAGGGATTTCGGAAGAAACTATAGATATAGTTGACGAGCGCTAGAACGGTCGCACATTCCACACTCAATCAAATAAATTTATAAATCCTAAAACTAACCCCTAAACAAGTCTAGTAGTAAGTTTGGAGTCGAACCACAAGGAACGGTAGTGCTAGATTGTTCTTAATCTAATGCCTAAGCTATGCCGAAGTCGATTTACGGATAAAGGACACTACAACTACACTAAAACACATATAAAGAACAAGGTATGATAAAGTCTACTAGGGGAAAAGATCCACTTAGAACAATTAATAAGCTAATGAGAATCCATTTGATAATCAATCATGCAAAGAAAGAATTATAATGAGAATTAACTACACTCAAAAGTAATCTCTCAAATTCCTAGCCTAGATCCCTCATTGACTAGGTGCATAGAAGAAAATTACCCAAAATGCAATCAAATATATCAATTCTAATTCACAATCCCTTGTCAAACTAAAACCAATATGCAATTAAGTGTGCTATCATGGATCAATCCAATCTAAAACAAACAACATGCCAACATCAATTCAATCAATTTAATCACACAATTATCATCAAATTTATCTCAAATAACTCAAATAATCATTACAAAGCCTCACTCAACACCTAGTAGAAGGGAAACTACTCAAGCATAATGAAAGCAACTAAATAAAGCAATAAGAGAAGAGAAAGTAAGAAATGCTCATTGATATAAGGTGGAGATCTTCAAATTCCTCATTTGATTATCCAAAATCCATGAAAACCATTGTGCTCCTCACTTTCTCTCTCTAAAATTTTGAGAGTTTCTCTCTCTAAAACCTAAAACTAACCTAAAATCTATTCTAAACTGAAAAAAAATCTGTTTCTTTAATGAGCAAAAAAATCTATTTATACCCCTTACAAAATTGCTTAGGAAGCTCCGCAAAAAGTCAGCTGAAACGGGAAAAGGTCTGACCGAACTCTGTGTAGGTTCGGTCGGACTCAGGGTAGGTTCGGCCGAACTCAGGGTAGGTTCGGTCGAACCTCCCTGATCCTTGTTTGGTCGAACTTTCCTGGTTCGACCCCTCCTGTAAACATGCTGAAAACTTGGTTGAAACTGCCTTGGAGGTTCGGTCGAACTTTTCAAAAGTTTGACCACACCTTGGTTCGACCGAACCTCTTAGAGGTTCGGCCACACCTCCTCTTGAACTTCCTCTTCTTGCTTCCTCTACTTCCCTTTTGCTCCTCTTGTCTTTGTCCATGCCTCCATACTTGGCCAAGGGGCCTCCTACCGTGCTTAGGACCGCCATGGAACCTGCAAAAGATATCAAAGATCACGAGAGCATGGGGATGATAAAATTATGCATAAAGATTATCAAAACAAGCGCAAATAAGCATACTTTTTATCCATAAAAAAAAGGAAGCCATAAGAGGAGAAAAGAGGTAGAAAAACCTAAGAAAAACAGAAGAAAAGAGACCAATACACTACCCCTAAGGGTAACATAAATGTCACTCATCAAACACCCCCAAGCTTAACTTTTGCTCATCCTCGAGCAAAACAAAACAAACACAGCGGAAAACGATGTATATTTTTTTTTTTTAAAAAAAACAATAAAATAAAATAAAACTAGAAGAGAAAGAATATACACTAACTCACTTTCGTAGGAATCACGAATGCATTTAGCGCATGCATCAAGCACTTTAAACCCCATAGATCGCTCTAGAGGACGAGTATGCTCTCGTAAGGGTATCCTAAGAGTTTAACCCATAACTCTTGACAAAAATCAAGGCAAAGCAATAAACAAATAGATAAAATAAATTGAAGTAAAAGAGAGGTTACAAGCGTTCTTAAGTGGATTTTTACAATGGAACAAGCACTAAAGAATGTCAATCTTTCTAAAAAAAATAAAGGTATGCACGTTCTAAGATGTCCAAGGTTGATTGAAACATAGCATATGCTAAGCATAGAGAACTAACGGAAACATATTCCACCTTTTGTTCCAACTAATCAAACCAAAACCTCTCTACAAGTTTCAAATCCACTTTCAAGTTAGCTTCTCATGATTCCACGAAGGAACCGGAAAATAAGTAAGAAATTCAAAACATGAGAAGGTTACCCAACATCTTGGCTATGCAAACTCGCTCTATAGGCTTGATTCCTATTTCCTGCCACCACTAAATGACTTAACCCTCTAGGATCAAAAGGACTTTCAAGGTTGTAATACACAGGCTAGGAGAGTAAAGGTGTGGAAAACTTTTGAAATTGGTGGTAAACCTACATGTGAAGCTCGGGTGGAACTTTTTCCACAAGATCCAAACGAATCCAAAACAAAAGTACCAACTATGCTCATAAAATAAAATTCCTCCAAGCTTATTTAAAACAAACTAACAAAAATAGGGAAAAAAAACAACTATAACAAAATCATTTTGTGCTTTTCATTCTTCTTTTACCTTTTTTTTTCGACATTTTTTTTTTTCATTTAAAAGTCCTTGCCTCTTTAACTTTGGACGACTTTTTCTCAAAATGCATTTACTTTTATGCACAAACTTATATACAACACATACTTGCTTTGCAAATAAACACATAATTCTAAACTTGCACCATAAACAATAAAACAAGCTCGAAAACTAAATTGCTTCACAAAACTAAAGGTAGAAAGTGAAACCAAGGCTTCAAGGCTTGTATTGTGGCTAGAGAAAAGAAGGTATATGGCTCAAAAGGGCTAGCAAGAGGGAAAAATATAAACTAAACTCAAAAATAGAAAATCTATCCTATAAAAAGAGAAATTCCTTTATCATCCCCTAAAGTGGCACGGTCGCGATCTTGGGAGCTAAAAGTCAAGTTCTAGATACGAGAATGCAATAGCCAAGGATCCAAATATGCCGCTCAACAAAGTATGATGAAGGCTTGAACAATTTACCTCACTAGGGATAGCAATAACTAACTCTTGATTTCATATCCACCATAGAGAGAAACTCCATCTTACCACAAGCAAGTGAACTAGGGCTTCATGGTCTCAAAGTTCTTAACAACTACCTTAGCATATCATATCCTAGAGTCAACCTAACACATTCTCAAACCGTGCA